GCAAATAATTACCTTGCAACTGATGCTGAAAACTCTAGCCTAGGGCAATTATAAACACTGTAAATGAACTATCAACATGCAAGAAACTGTACTATTCTTCACATAAGACACAGAGAATTAATGTAAGTTGTACTGTCTACAACACAGACACACTTAGTACTTAGAGACAATAATTTATCTACTAAGAGATCAGATATCCTTGTGAAGAATAAGAAGCATATGTCTATTCAATTTACTGTTCTGTGAATATTGGCTTGCACTCAGATTTTAGGATTTAGTTGTAAACAGTTAAACTAAGGTGATACAAAGCAAAGCAGCATGGTCATGTTGGGTCTTGCCACTGCTGCTATAAAAGTCAGATGGGACTTGGACTAATTTACTCGAAAAATTGCATCCTTCTATATATACTTAAGTGTTGGCTGGACAGCTCAGTAAGTTAGGTATTAGGCTGCAGAGCCAGATGTTAACATATGTCTGTATGTTTCTATATCTAGAAGATCCTGGAAAGCGTTGCTATTAGTCAGAACTGATTTGATGGCACATCATAATTACATTTAATATTTAAATTTCTCTTTGAGGGGCTAGCTTCATGTGCACTGGAAAGCACAGATAGGAGAATAGTGCTAACAAGTAACTCTACATGCAGGTTGGCATACTTGTTGTGGAACAGGGTCTCCACAGAAGTTCACAGGGCAGCCACTTTGCAGTGAAGACTTATTTTATTCATCCAAGAGCAACAACAGTAGTACAAAAACAATTAAAATGCTTTAATGAACAAATAAAAACAACCCAGGTGATTTTAGGTAAACAACTAGAATTTAGGTTCTGAGGTTAACGTATACAGTGGTGCCTCGCAAGACAATTGCCTTGTGGGACGATTAATCCTCAAGACGATGGGTTTTTGCGATCTCTGTTGCGCTTCGCAAGACGATGTTTTCTATGGACGACTTTCGCAAGATGACGTTTTGGTCTACGCTTTTAGACTGATGCGTCGCAAGATGGTTTTCCTCCATTGGAACACATTAAATAGATTTCAATGCATTCCAATGGGGAACTGCGTTTTGCGAGACGATGTTTTCGCAAGATAGCGATTTTCACGGAATGAATTAACATTGTCTTGTGAGGCACCACTGTATCTAGATTCTGATGACAATCGGTCCTTGTTCACCAATGTTTTAGAACATTTACAACTTTTCCCAGGTCCTGTGTGTCACTATGTATGTATAAGCTCTGTGTGAAAGAAAAGATTTTACCTATCGCTATGCATTCACTTAAGAAACTGGATTAAAACAGAGTTATCACAGGACCACAAAAAGACCACTCAAAGGGATAACAAAAAGTGAAAGGAACTGCAGTAATCAAAAAAAATTCCAAACCCACCCTCAGGCAATATTTTTATTCGGACCAAAAAGTATTGCCCAACTGTGACTTTCAAAAGGAAGAGAAATACTGATATCCCCTTAGAATAACATCAGGGATAAAATGTCTTTATGTAGCCTTCAAGGCCACCTGAGAAGGCCACCAGAGGCATAACAATGGCAACATTTTTAAGAATCAAACCTCTAGTCCATAAATCTCATCTAAAATGAGACTCTTCATAATACTTAACTGTTTCTGACTTACTGAGTCACTTTTTGAGAATTAGGTATTTTACTAGCACGAAATACTGTGACCAGAGTATACTGAAACAGCTGTTTGTGCGATGATATTTGCGTAAGTAGTTTACACCATCTGGAACAATGTCCACTGCACAAGAGACATACCGTCGAATAGTGCAATCCTCTTTTATGATTTAACATTGTACACACAAGTATACATATAAGTTAAATAAATAAATAAATAAGTATCTGAACAGGATTGTGGCTATCATTCCTAGCAATGCATTTTAACCTACGACTATGGCCAAGTTAAAAGTTTCAATATTAGAAGTGTATTGTAACAATCCTAGAAATGAGTCGAATCACAACAAAAATCATAAATCCAAGAACACCTGAAGCAGTGACAACAAGCCATCCAAATTGGTACCCATTCTGCATACAGGGGCAAGCACAAACTCCCTAGACTCATAATTGTCACTGTATGAAAACAATATTAGTAACAGATTGTGCATATTAGTAACGGAACTCAAGTTCTTAGAAACCTTTCCATGGCCCCTTCCAAACATGGACTCTGGTCTTCCTAATTTGTAAGAGTTAAATATCCATGTGCAGCTTTCAACCACACAGCCACCTTCCTTTACTACACAATTTCTTGGAAAAGGAAATGAGGGGGACTAGAACACAGTGCTTTGTATTCTCAGCTAAATGTTTTTTTTAAAAAAATGGAGGGGGAAAAGGACATGATGCTGCTCAGTAAGATTAGAGAAAGCTAAGAAGAAAAAATGGGGCTTTGGGAGAGGGTTTATCAGATTTGGCAAAAACTGTTTTATTTGTTTTAATAGGGTATATGTGTGAGCTGCCAGCAGGAGGAACTGACAATATCCACTGAGACAGGAAGTTCTGTAAGTAAGAAATGGGTAACTTGTCAGTGTTCAATAGGAACCTGTCCTATACTCTGTTCCCTGGCCAAAGTAGCTGAAATCCTATTGCTTAGCATAGTAAATAATAACTACAGTAAGCCCATTTGAACCAACAGAGAAGTTGACTCACCAAATTCCCACTGATTCAGTGGGCATACTCTAGTGCAGCTTACTATGCTAAGCAACAGGATTTCAGCCAGCATGTCTTTTATACTAATTGAACTTCATGGCAATCATTCTATCATGGTGCAAACAACAGTTCTCAAATTTCCAACTGTGCTCACAGCCCTTCAATAAGTTAAATGCCAGCAGGGTATTCATTTCATGCACCTTGGAATTATTTTCTGTATTTATACTTTTCTACAGCAAAACAGAACTGATTGATTTTAATAGCTTCCAACAAAACCTAGACTGTAATACAGTACAAGATTTATGGTAGACTTACACAACAGTGTATTAAAACCTGAAAACAGGCAGGACCTGCTGATACTGAACTCATATTTTCCTTAAGAGTTCTTCTTGTTAGTTAAAAGAAATACAAGACAAAAATACAGTGATAATCCTGAAACAATTTTAAAGCTTGTTTATTATGGGCACTATAACACAAACAGGAGGGCCAAGAGAAATGAGGTCACTAATGCTACGTCACGAGCCTGGCTAACAACTATGCATAGCATGTCAGTAGGACAACGTAGATAAACTCATTCACAGGTATAACATGTATTTACAAATACATCTTATTTGCTTCATTTCTCAATGTATAACAGAGCATCTCCACCCATCATCTGCTTTAATTACTGTACATTTTTTCCCAAGACTCCAATACTCTTTGTAGAAATCCTCACTTCTAAGACTAAGGCAAATTGATACTAAATGAATGAATATAGGTCAAGTCCAGATACAAATAGGACCAAGATCTGCTAGCTGCCATTGTCAGGAAATTGCTACCAATCACACAAAAGACTGCACAATTTAAGATAGGGGAACTAGAAGAGATCTCCTCTGTCCTCACCAGGTGGTCACTGCTGCTGTTATCAGACAGCTCTACTCCAAAAAAGGAGTGACCAGCTGTGCTCCAATTATTCCTTCATCTGTGAATGGAATGTGAAGCACATTCATAGGATACTTTAGCAATTCCTGGCTGGAAACAGATAGTCTTTAACTCTGAATGGCAAACTTTCTTCACTGGCACTGCACCTGACAAGTCAGAAAACCTCAATTCTGGGGGGACAGACCCACATTCCTTACTGGTGAGATGGACAATTCTCTGTTACATTTGCCAAGCTATACAAAGACCCTTCTATTTGCCTTAAGAATATATAAGAATGTATAGGAAACTATACATTTTGAACTGTGCCGCTGACTCTTGAGAGTCCCCTGGACTGCAAAGAGAACAAACCTAAAGGAAATCCTAAAGGAAATCAACCCTGAGTGCTCACTGGAAAGACAGATCCTGAAGCTGAGGCTCCAATACTTTGGCCAACTCATGAGAAGAGAAGACTCTGTGGAAAAGACCCTGATGTTGGGAAAGTGTGAAGGCAAGAGGAGAAGGGGATGACAGAGCACGAGGTGGTTGGGCAGTGTCACTGAAGCTACGAATCTGGCCCAACTCCAGGAGGCAGTGGAAGACAGGAGGGCCTGACGTGCTGTGGCCCATGGTCATGATGAGTCGGACACAACTTAATGACTAAACAACAACATAGGAAACTAGCATATACTGAACTAGTCCATTGATCCATCTAACTCAATAATGTCTATGTTAACTATCAGTGTTTTTCTGAGATCTCAGAACTTCTTTGCATCAGAAGATAGAAGAAATGACCCTGGAGTGATATGCATATGACACAGATGGTCTTCTGCAGACCTTTGCCTTTTGCTTGGGCAGCAATGTTAAAGTCAAGAGACAAAATCACATTGTTAAAGCTCAACAATACATTAAGAATCAGCTGTAAGATATTTGGCAGATATAGTTTGTCCCTCTTGAGCTCAAAGGCACAAATCTGTTTTCACTGAATTGGCTAGAACAGAACATGAAGCTTTCCACAATGCAGCACCATCACTGTAAAGAATAATTCTTCATATATGTCTTTCAGTTACCCCTCATCCCTTCTACAGGCACCAAGAAAAACGTCTACAGCCCATTACAATTCAATCATAGACTCAGCTCTTCCGCAACAAACTCTGCTGAATTTACCAGGGCTTGCTCCAAAATAGTTGTGCATAAAATCGCAGTCTCAGAATAATTAAGAAAGCAGAACAGGCCACCCATAGGAAAACGGCAAGAAATGACCAAAATGCATTCTCCTTCGCTACTCTAACCGCTAGTGTAGTCGGGTAAGTTCTCAGAGTGTTACATAGTACCTGCCTCAGCATTGTATAACCACCAGCCAGTGCGCTTGCGCAGACGCCCTACCAACCCTTTCAATAGGGATTTACAAACGATTGGCTAAATAAAAGGGTCGCATCTTTGGTACCCGCTCACCTCCACCGGTTGATCCCCACGTTGGAAGAGCCCGCGAACCAGGGGTCGAGAATGTAGACGCAACGCACGGTGTCAGCGCCTTGGATCACCTCTCTCAACGCCGGGTTATCGTGGAGTCGAAGCCCCTTGCGGAACCAGTGCACGGCGTTTACCCCCATCTTCAAAGGGGGGGGGCAGGGGGAACCAGTCACTCCCACTCGCCAGGTGGCGGAGAGTTGCGCGGGAGAAAGTGGGAGGAGAGGCCGGGAGGCTGAAGAACGTCGTCCGCCCGTTCAAGAATAAACGAAGTCGGCGTCACGGCTCATGCCGAGCCGAGGCCCGCCGTTGAGGGGAAGCCCCCTCGGGATGGGATGGAGAGTGGGGTAAAGTGGGGTGCGGAAGAGGCCCGTGAGGGGCCTCCGGTACTAAGACCCGGTAGAGGCGGCGGCCGCGGCGGTGGAGGAAGCAGCAGCAGCAGTGGCGAGAGCCGCCGGCAGGAAACGCATCCCCTCTTCTTTTCCTCAGCCACGAGCGCCGCCACACAAATGGGGAGGCGGGGGGGGGAGAGAAGGAAGCCTCACAAAAGTTCGCCTTACGAAGAAGAGCAAGCCAGCTCGTGCCGCCCGGGTGACGGTTGCGGTCCAGCACGCGCGCGCGCACCCCCCCCTCCCTTTCGCTTCTCCGCTCCCAGCGCAACGCCGCCCGCCCGGTGACTCCTCGGCGCCGCTCTCTCCCGACCGACGAGGGCCGCCCAAGCACCGCCCCTTCTCCCTCATTGGCCATCGCCTCCCCCGGTGACCGCTGGTGCCTCACGTTTATGAAATGTGTTTACTGTCTTACGAGAACGGAAGCTGTAGCTCCCGAGTGGTCAAAGCTCAAAATATATATATATATTTATACTGTAACGACAACGTCACGGAACTTTATAAAAAGTCGATGAATGCCAGCGCTCAAGCTCGTTCACTCGGACACGCGCGCCTTCTCAAGTCGCGGGATTGGGGGGTGGGGAAAGAAAACAGGCCCGAGGGCGGAGCAAGAGCGCTGCTGGCCCCGCCCCTCCGGCACGAACGCAAGGTACCCGGATGAGCACGGGGCTTCCGTGGAGGTTTTCTTAGCGCGCGCGCGCGCCTCATTGCCTTGGTTGGCGGGCGGGGAACAACAGCCAGGCTTTGTTAGTGTCTGGGCGGGGGCGCGCTCCCTCGGGCGAGAATGCGCCCGCTCCTGCTCTTCAGTATTCTCGGCTTGGAGGGAGGCGGTGGTGCGGGAGCGCGCGTATGCGCGCGCTCTTGGTCTCTCTCGCCTGCCCTTCCTCGCACCCGCCGCGCTCCTTTTCCCTGATTTAATCTCCTCGTGTTCGCACACCTGATCGTGACGCGGAGCGGCGGGCGCGGTATTTCGGTCCCTTTGCTGGCCTGGATGCCGCCCCTCATTGGAAGTAATCGCCAACGGCTGGCGCGAGTCTGGGGCCTGCGACGCAGCTCGTTATGGCTCTGTTGGGTGGTTATATAACAATGAAACCTCGTGAAGCGGCCCACTTTAAAAAGGCGGCGCCCCTTCATGCCGTTCATCTCTCCCGAGGGTGGCCTCGACTTCCATCTGTTCTTGTTAGAGGAGACCCCGTGGTCTGAGGTCCATGACACCTTCCCCCTTCCCGTTTATTTTTGCTGCTCCTTCCCTTCTGGAGGAGTCCCTCTGCCGGCGCAGCTTACACCCATTGAAAACAGACAATACGTGTGCACCTCGTAGAAAATGATATCCAAAATGGACATGGGCATTTTAAATCTATACCCATTATCAATCCAGAGTACTGTATCTGATAAAAATGCATCTGTTACTTTGTCACTGTCAAAGTTGTGTGTATTTCCCCTGCAATTGCGATTTTGGTCAGCTTGATGTTCAACTTCAATCCTGCTTTGGCACTTCCTTCTTTTTTTTCCAGTAAGATGATGCCATCTGCAAATCTTAAGTAATGATGTTTCTTCCACCAATTTTCATTCCTCCTTCGTCAACGTTCTGTGTATTTCCCCTGCAATTACGATTTTGGTCAGCTTGATGTTCATCTTCAATCCTGCTTTGGCACTTTTTTTCCCAGTAAGATGATACCATCTACAAATCTTAAGTAATGATGTTTCTTCCACCAATTTTCATTCCTCCTTCATCTGAATCTATTCTGGTTTTCCCTATACTGTAATATGTTCTGCCCACAGATTGAACAGATAAGGGAATGAAATGCATCCTCCGACTCCTTTTCCTATAGGAAACCATTCTGTCTTAACAGTACTGTAGCTTGTTGTCCAAATTACAAGTTATACATCAAGTGCAAGACACACCTATGAAGAAATTGAAGTGATTGAGGTTTTGTATACCTTGGTTAAATCATCAGTCCAAATTAAAACTGCAGCTAAGAAATCAGAAGACTAATTCTTGAAAGAGCAGCAGTGAAGGAGTTAGAAAAGATAATCAAGTATACAGATGTGTCACTGGAGACGGAGGCCACAGTCACCTATACTGTTTTATTTCCAGCCCCATGTTTTGAGCAGAAGGCTACAATGGAGATCACTCCCACCTGATCACCATCCATTGCCTTAGATAAGAAAGAGGAAACATCCATTCAGGAAGAACAGAAAAAGGAGGAAGAGGCAAAAGAAGTGGGAAAGTCAGGCACAGAGAAATCAGAATGGTTTGAACAACTGGAAAAGCAAACAGAAATCAGGGAGGAGATATATAAAGCAGGACCTAGCAAGAGGAGAAAAGGGACGTGGTGGCGCTGTGGGCTAAACCGCAGAAGCCTGTGCTCCTGGGTCAGAAGACCAAGCAGTCGTAAGATCGAATCCACGCGACGGAGTGAGTGCCCGTCACTTGTCCCAGCTCCCACCAACCTAGCGGTTTGAAGGCATGCAAATGCAAGTAGATAAATAGGGACCACTTCAGTGGGAAGGTAACAGCGTTCCGTGTCTAAGTCGCACTGGGCATGTGACCACGGAAGATTGTCTTCAGACAAACGCTGGCTCTATGGCTTGGAAACGGGGATGAGCACCGCCCCCTAGAGTCGAACACGACGACAAAAATTGTCAAGGGGAACCTTTACCTTTACGTTTACCTAGCAAGAGGAGACTAGTGGAAGCAGGAGAAGTGGAGGAGAGAAAAGAGAAGAAAGTACTCCCTCCAGGTTGTGAGTGGGTTTGGTCAGAAAACCCTTGTACTAATAAATGAGACAGGTAAATAGTTCCTAGAGAGGAGGAAGAGGAAAAAAAACCTGGAAAAACCTTCCTACTAGGGTGAGAAGGAGGGAAAAGAGTGGAGAAGAAAGAGAAAAGAAACGAGAGCCAGAATAGAAAGAGAGAAAGCCAGAAGGAAAAACCTACTTGGATCAAAGAAGTGTCCAACCCTGGCTTATGGGGAACTGCCAATACAAAATTGTGAACCACAGATACCATAGGGAGAGCACATGCCCTTTTTGCCAATACCATCAAGGCCAATATTAATGGACATGACTCCCATGAACTTTGAGGGACCTTGTTTGTGGTAATCCATTTATTTAAGTTAATGATGGAAACCCATTCTATACCCCATTGGGTGAGGAGGAGAAGTTGAATGTCAACATTGATATAAATAACTTTTTAGAGTTGCCTGAAATAAATCTTGAACCTGGGTGAAGATTCTTCTTATACTGAAGCCGGGGTTAATGCTGACAAGGACTTACCTGATCTCAGTAGTGAACCCTCACACATGTATGGGTGTGAAAACTGGACAGTAAAGAAAGCTGGCAGGAAACAGATAGGTTTACTTCAAATGTGGTGCTGGAGGAGAGCTTTGTGGACAAACAAGTGGGTCCTGGGTAAAATCAAGCCTGATGAAACCGAGGCAGCCCTACTTTGGGCACATCAATAGAAAATAGGATTCTCTGGAAAAGACAATAATACTGGGAAGGCAACAGGAAGTGGGGTAGACCAAATATGAGATGGATTGATCTCTTAAAGAAACCACAGGTTTGAGTTTGCAAGAGCTGAGCAGGGCTGTTGAGGACAGGATATTTTGGTGATTGCTCATCCATGGAGCTGCCATAGGTCAGGGGATGACCTAATGGGAAATAAGAAGAACAACTTTATCAAAGTAAGTCTCATGCTGAATAGGGTAAAGGCTTAGAATCTGGTAATCTGGTATGCTGCTAACTGGAAGGAAGTTCCACTGAGCTCAGTGGGACTTCCAAGTAAATATTATTATCCTTGTTTCAAATTTTTATTTTTTGTTTGTTTGTTGAAATCTCTAAGTGTCTTAATATTTAAAAACTAAATAAATTAAAAGCATACTGTACATAGAATTGGCCTGTAAGTTTTTAGGCAGAAAAACTGAAGAAGGCAGCAGCTGAAATGTTTTGCTTAAATATTTCTGTTGTAAATCACTCTTCTAAATATGTGTGTTGTGTGTGTGTTTTACTGTATCCCTCAAAAGGATCCAGACAAATCATTTGGTGAATTAAAAAAAATCACCAAATGAGTTCAAAAACTGTTAATTTGTCAGTCCATATTCTTATGAATAATGCCCCAATGAATACAAATAAATGATTTTTAGTTTTTTGATTCATTGATTTGTTTGGCTATAAAATGGCCCCCCAGGCACCTAGCCAGAAAAACTGAAAAATTGCAGGGAATTTTCCTCTCCTCTATAAGCCCTCCAAGTTTGGTAAAGATTGGGTTTCCCCAAGCTAGCTGCTAAAGGGCACTTTCCTGAGAGACCCACTTTGTAGGTATATAACTTGGATGTCTCAAACCCAATCTTCACCAAAATTGGAGGGATTGTAGAGATGAGTCAGTAGACACTTCTCTGTGATTTTTGTGTTTCTAGGTACCTGGGGGAACTTTCCTAGGGACAGCCTACTTGTGGGTATATATTTTGGACATCTGGAACCCAAATTTCACCAAACTTGCAAGGCTTATAGAAGAGAGTTGGGGAAAGCTTCCCTGCAAATTTGGTGTCCCTAGGTGCTATGGGGATATATTTTATAGGGCTTTAAATTAGAAAATAAATTGGCTAATTCATCAACACCAAAAAAAATTGGAATTTGTAATTTGTTGATGAATTACCGTATTTTTCCATGTATAAGACACCCCCATGTATGAGGCACCCCCCACTTTTCTAATCCAAAATTTTTAAAAAAGTGGGGCTTAGCAAGTGTAGCGGGGAAATGATCAAAGCGCTGCAGGATCACTTTGATCCCTGCTTTCCCCTCCACTTGGTTTTGTTCTCTCCTCAACTTACTTCCATGTATAAGACAACCCTCAATTTTTATTCTAAAGATTTTACACAAAAGTATAGTCTTATACATGGAAAAATACGGTATTAATCAACAGGAATCAACATTTTTCTGATTTGTGCCCATCTCTATTTGACTGACATGCTGCTTAGTTTTCATTATCTACCTACCTACCTGTCTGTCTGTCTATGACTTGAGAAATGCCTACAAAATGTTTCTGAAGAGCGGTGATTTATCTAGTTAGGCTGTGAGAGACCTCTGGCAAAAATTAAACAGAACTTGTCTTACTTCAGGTTAGGCACAAATGAAAGGGCATGACAAGTACATCTTGTCTCCCAGCTGCATGTGCTGTTATTAAAGGTACAGAACTTCATAAAAAAGTGTGTATTCTAATGCCACATATGTTGTAGCTACCTATCTGTGCCACTAGCAGATGCTCATAGCATAAGCAGATGCAGTCTGCCACACTGATCTGGGAAAACTTCAAGTACCAGCATTAAGGAGAAATCCATAGTGAGAGGCAGTGTGGGGTAGTGGCAGCATGTCACACTGGAACTCAAAAGAGACCTGAGTTCAAATCACTGTTCAGTCATGAATGTCTCATATACCTCAAAAACCCTTTAAAATGCTGCAAGTTAGAAGACAGCAGATAACAATGGAAAAATCTGAGGCAAAGGGAGGAAAATAGCCAAGGCATCTACTATACACTTTGATTTCTTGGTTGGCTGCCATTCCACATATTTGCAAGCAAGTAAAACCCTTTGAAATCATTGGGACATTTTTCTATCATGTATAGACTTGCTCTGCATGCTTATTAGTAGAAAAAGAGAATGTGCATTAATGGCACCAGAATACTGTAGTATAAATTTACGAAAAGAAAGGTTACTTACCTGTAACGATGGTTCTTCAAGTGGTCATTCTGTGAATTCACACAATCCCGCCCGGCCTCCCCTCTGTCTGTCTGTCACTGGCATCTCTATGACTCGAGGGCCTATGGCGGACAAATGGAACTGAGGGACGGTTAGGCTGGGCGTGCGCAGTAGGGGTAGTCCTAAACATTGTTACTTTTCTCTTGCAGCTAGAAAACGTTCCGAGAGGCCCAACGCTGGCGCTGGTATTAACCCTTTGTGTGCATTCACAGAAGACCACGATGAAGAAGCTACTTTACAGTAAAATTGAACTGTTAAAAAAACCCCAACTTTTTCATTTATAAATTTATTTCTGTATCTTGGAGTAGGCTTCCTCTGCTCAAGCTGGAGCAAGTGTAGTACGTTTGCATTTAAAGCTTTCATGTTTAATTAGTCTCTGTCCTTTGGGCATTTAATCCTCTGTTCAATATTTACATTCTAAAATATAAAAATTAAAAGATAGCCTGATGTAGTCTTCTCACAGTATTAACACTATGGAACATTTTAATCATAGAGCAGCACTGTAACAAAAAAAACCCCTTCCGTTTCAGTTAAAGAATTGTGGTTTAGGATTGCTTTATGGCATTATTGGTTTGTAAAAGTTCTTTGCTTTAAACACTGGTGCATTTATATGCTTTCATAAATGTATTGGATCCTAAAGTATCACAAAACTTCTCTCTCTTTTTTTTTCTTCAGCACACACAGCTAACTTTCTGAAAATTATTCCTGGTTTTGTAACAGGAGCACATAAGAAGAACACATCAATTTCATTTTTTATTATGGACAGTGCTATTTATTCATTTGTTTATAGGACTGTTGACACTGGATTGCAAAGCTGTTCTCCAACACCTGGTAAACTAGGCTGATCCACAGACAGTATTAGCTGATAATGCTTATCCCCATACCATTAAGAGCTGTACCTGCAGATTTCTACAATTCATCCTGTTGCTAAGGGCGAAGAAGCAAACCAGTCTTTCTTATGATCACTTGGCAACTGTATTATTATACAGTTTTTCCTCTGGTGAGTTCAGGCCACATCTCCTGCAGAACCAAGAGTAGAAAGGATCAGTACAGAAGTATAATTGCTTTCATTTTACCTATAAAAAATATTTAAGGAGGTTAGCATGCTCTAGGATGAATTATGTAAATAATCTACAGTTGTTTCTGTTCTAAATTAAATGCCATTCCAAAGGAGATGGAGTGGAGAGTCTTTTTTAAGTACCAAACATTGGAACTAGAAACACCTAGGCAGAGCATGGAAATATTATTTATTTGGACTACTGAATGTCCTGCTTGAGAAATTACTGGAACTATAGTCCACCCAAAAGTAAATTGGTTATTATTTTGTTGTTATTATTCAATTGAGTCATCAATCAACTAGATGGGCGGGGTATAAATGCAAAAAATAAATATACTTGAAACTGTTAGCAGGCTGATGGGACAAATGGGGTATTGATTAGCGTCTTAATAGTACACATTACTTCCAATTCCACAGTATTCCTGTATGTGATCTGCACTTTACAAACTGTTGCTGCTTGAAGCTTAGGAAACTACAGTCTCTGAACTACTAGAGGAGAGAAGTAGAGCAGATGGCTGGAAAAATAAGGATTTATTCAAGCTTTCATGAAGTGGTGATTAACTGTCTACTGAGATTCCTATCTGTGTTGGCTGATGTTTTCAGGAACACAGAGTCTCACTTGTGTGTCTGTCTCTTTCTCATCAGCCTCTCTTCTACTAACATTCACATCACTGCTACCTATACAATTGTGAAGTCTCATAGTGTTTCTGCCTTTGTTGCTTCCCAAAATATTTTACTCTACATGTAAGTAGCTAGCAAGTGTTTTCATACAAGATCATTTAGAAGCCCTTTAACATGTGTGACATCTAATTCATGCACAATGTCTCTAGTCAGTGCCTATCCTTTGCTAGTGATGTAGAACATGAGAGGCATTTGGGGGGACAGAGGTAGTAAGGGAAGGTTGTAAGTTATTTCTACAATCTAAACCACTGGTTCTTAACCTTGGATTACTCAGGAGTTTTGGACTGCAACTCCCAGAAGCCTTCACCACCAACTGAGCTGGCTGGGGTTTCTGGGAGTTGCAGTTCAAAAACATCCGAGTAACAAAGGTTAAGAACCACTGATCTAAACTAAAGTATCATTCTGTATGGGAATAGGTTTTGGCAGCCATAGTGTTTCCAGTGACATCCCCCACCCACCCCATGGAGCTGTGGCATTCTAAGATACGGCACAATCAAAACTATATGATAGCTAGGTTGCATTTTTATCTATTAATTTGAAACACTGAAGTCTACACTTCAAAAACATTTGTTACATAGAAATATAAAAATAAAACGGTAAAATAGGAACAACATTAAAACATAAAATCAGCAGAAAACCTACTTCCCCCAAGATGGTAGGGTTTGGCTATAGCTTTCCTCTTTCCTCCCCTGCAGAATAAAATAAATCCAACAATTGGAGATAGCATATACATTCCCACTCCAAAATTGGAGGTTTTCAGTGAAGTCCTGTGCCAGATAGAATAAATGATTGACTATTGCTGTTGAGCAAAAGAGGACGGGAAATTATCTCCCCCCCCCATATTAAATGTTTTCTTAAAGCAGGATGGTATAGTAAGTGGTTTATAAATCGATGTTACTATACACACAGCTAGTTCAACTATCAGGATTTCTATGTTTTCCTCTTCAGTATAGTCTATAATACCTGGTGTTACAAAAACAGCACTTTTGTATTGTGGGACCTCTCGGCAACTAGACATATTCCAGGAACTTGGGGTTGACAGTGATCAGTTCCTCTTTGAATTTCTTGGGACACAAAAGATAGCACAGTTCGATTGTGGCAAAGTGAAGCTAAGAGTTGCTCCTTAGATGAAGAGATGCCCTTTGTATTAGTAGAAATTATTGTCATTTATTGTTCTAGAAAGGACCATTGAGCCATTTTGCTCATCAGCGAGTTTACTGTACACTACAACGGTTCTCAAAGTGAAGGATTGGCTAGTTGCATGCCATTGCCCAGGGGATGCCTCAGTGTACTTGCAAGGGTTTCCAACTCTTCAAGAAGGCTCCTCCTATACCCCCTTCCCAGTTTGGTTCTGAGATTCCATACAAATTAAGTCCCTGCATCTTCTGAAAACAGTGCAGTGTGTTTTCCCCCATGTGGATCTTCTTCAAGCCATGCTCTTTTAGATAGTGGAAAATCTTTGTTAAAACGTATGCTTTGTGCTTTTACTTCAAAATATAAACACAACTTCCCCCCCTTCTTAATTGTGTCTAATCCCAAAACAATTCATTTGTGATTTTTAAGATCAGAAGATTCAATATTTGTACTGTAGTTTTCAGGCGTCGGGCAAGCAAACTGGTAAGACTATGTTATACCTTGTGCAAATGCATGTTCAAGGCTATTATACTCATGCCCTATGTTTTAAAGCTTTAAACACTTCCACCTCAAACCAATTGTCAGCGTTTAAAATGGTGTGGTGAGGCTTCCGTTTAAGAGCCGTTTGTGTAAGAAAAGGCCCGGGTGAAACGAGGACGACATTTATTAGTGGGGAAAGCGATGAAGCGCCTCCTCGCCTCTCTCTTGCTCAGCTGGGGAGGGCCCAGTCCACCGCGCAACAGGAGAAACGCCACAAAACCTGATTGTGCAATCGCCAGATGAGAAGTAAACTACAGTAGAATCAAAGAAACGCTATGAACTTGGAAGCCATCTCCGTCTGAATAGTCCCAATCCCTCCTACGCCGGAGCTCTTGCCTTGCCGGTTTATATTCACTCGGTTAAAAACCCTCCCCTTTGATTGAACAGCAGCCAAGATGAGCAGGGAATGGTTTGTTCCACCGCCCTTCTATTTCCCCTCCCCGGGTCGCCGTCGGTTGGTACAGCCGCGAAGCTTCGCTGGCTGGCAGCGGCGGATTCGGCCGCCTCCCTCTTTCTTGCCGCCGCCACCGTTGCAGGCGGGTGAGTCCTTGGCGGAGGGTAAGAGGGTTGTGGAGCGGTCTACTCAGGGACGGGGGCCACCCGTGGTAGCGCAGAGGGGAAAGGCGCGCTGATCGCCGGGTCGTGGCAGGATCCAGCCGCTGGCA